ACTTGGCAAGGATCGATTATTTATTTATTCGGTAAGAATTATTTGCCAAGGCCCAGCAGATGCAATAGCTAAGGGTCACACATGTGGCTTGATAAAGTAGCTAAGGTCATTAGATTGCTATGTTAATTTGATGAGGATCGAATATGGAACAACCGGGAATCGTACACATCTCATTTATCGAGAAGATCGATCTCATGAACCAAATAAAAAAAGAATCTGGTTATATTTATGATCCCACGAAAAAGCCCGTACACTCATAAATATGGAAAGTAGTTGATATGGGGTACAACCTCATAGACCGAGTCAACCAAACTATGACCTGAATCGGGTATTGACCCCTTACCTAAAAGATCGGGTATCGACCTCTCACATAAAGGTCAGGTGTCGACCTCTTACATAAAGTTCATGCATCGACCTCTTACATAAAGTCATACGAGCATACGAGCTCGAGGATAAGTACGGGAAGACGTTGCCTAGGCCGTGGAACGTTCATCTCAAAAATACTACGTTATGTTGGAACCAATACGACGTATGTACGATGCTAGGCAGTTGGTACATGTGTTTTGATGTTTTCTAACGCATTTCACGATTATTCAATGTATATGTTTGAAGGTAATTGGATGCGTTTTATGGTTATTCGTTGCACATGTCTAGATGCGTTTAAGAATCCTCGAGCATAGATCAATTTGTACCTTAAGGCTAGATCGATTAAGCCAGAAGTAGATCGTTCCGTAGCTCTAGGCTAAAGCAATTTCACAGCTGGAGCGGATCGTTTCGAGCTCAACACCTCAAGGGTGAGGATCGAGCTCAGCACCTCAAGCGTGAGGTCAAGCTAAACACCTCAAGGGTGAGGTCGAGCTAAGCACCTCAAGCGTGAGGTCAAGCTAAACACCTCAAGCGTGAGGTCGAGCTCAACACCTCAAGGGTGAGGATCGAATTAAACACCTCAAGCGTGAGGATCAAACTCAACACCTCAAGGGTGAGGTCAAACTCAACACCTCAAGGGTGAGGATCGAGCTAAGCACCTCAAGCGTGAGGATCGAGCTAAGCACCTCAAGCGTGAGGTCAAGCTAAACACCTCAAGAGTGAGGATCAAACTCAACACCTCAAGGGTGAGGTCAAACTCAACACCTTAAGGGTGATGTCGAGCTCAACACCTCAAGGGTGAGGATCGAGC